GCCCGGCCAAATCTAACTTTTAATACCAATATAGTATAAAAGAAATATGTTTGCATTCTCACCTATCCTATACTCAACCCTGCTATACCAGGTTCTCAATCCTTTGGAAATATGAAATGCTTTTAACTTTCCCTGACACCTATTTTGCATTTAAAGGCAGCTTTCATCCCAACTATTGGACATTTCTCCCAGTATTTATACTTTCAACAGAAAAATCACAGTCTTAGGAATAAGCCTAGAGTTTCGATCAGTAGTTCTCTGTGACTTTGAATCCTTATCTAGAATTCCAGAGGTCTAAAATAAGCATCTATAGCTATTCTAGGACTTGTACTACTTGTCTCTGCTTGTTAACCTGCCCTAGTTTAGTGAAAACTTTGCCAGCCTTCCTTCTATGAAAGTATTCACTCAGCTACATTAATGAAGAATGTTAACAGTAATCTGACTCAAGTTTTAAAAAATATTTTTCTGTCCTCCCTGTGCCCTTTATATCATAGAAACATACGGACAGGAAAAGGAAGGTAGCAACTTTAAGTCCCTATATGCTAGTTTCTGGAGAGAAACTACCCTATGAAAACACTGCATTCTATGTGCTTCTTAAAAAGAAAAGGTCAAAGATTCATACCTGTTTCATCCTTGCAGCAGCTCTATTTGAAAACAGAATAGATCTGTCTTTTTGGAAGCAGGACGGGCAAATCTCCAGGGCTCGACTGTAAGAACTTTCAGCTTCTATATAATCTGAGGATGATATGATAAAGGATGAACAGTCATTATGATTTTATTACTGATGGTATTATATTCCATAGGATCTCAGAATGCATAGTTTGCCATTCACAGGACAAAGATTTCAAATAAAAAGATAGTCACGGTCTATTAAGTTCTGGACAGTAAAAGTCATTCCCTCCTATCCTCTCTCTTTGAAGAAATAGTGCTGGCTTGTGCCAATCTCACGAGGTGTGCTTGGCAAACTGACAGATGAACCTGTTGTCAGTGAAGAGCCCTCAATACTCAGGAGTCCTAGCATGCCCTAGATGTTCAGCTTTCATTTGACTTAGCAGTTTAGAAAGGAGTTTTCAGAGGAGGTTAGGGAACTGGACAGATGAAAGAAACTAAACTCTGGAACCCATGGCCTGGGATCAAGAAAAAAATTCTATGTATACATTTTCATTAAGGCTATTGTGCTTTCATATATTCAACCTGGCTAAAACTGCATCCATGCAATGTTTGGAGAGAAACATTTTATGGAGCTAAAAGCAACAATGTAAAAATCAGTATTTAATTCAAGACTTTAAAAGAGAAAATGGTGGTAAATTTATATATTCATTGTTATATGAAGAATTACGGTCAGGATACTAAGAAAATAGCCTACTCACTCTTTTCTCAGGTTTGAAATATTTAATATTAACCTATAAAAGGATATGCTTTCAAAACTAGAAGCATTAGTTTCTAGTAGAAAAAAAGAAATGATAATTACTACACTAGGATATAAGAAAAAAAATTTTAAACCTGAAAATAACTAGGGAAAAATGTTAACACTCCTAGATTGCTGCAGCATATACAGCTTGAGATGTTGACAGAAGGCTATATTGTAAGATCAAATAGTTTCCCCAAATTATTGGAATGAACTCCCAACTTATTTCTAAGCAAATGTAGTAAATGTGAAAACACATGAAGAAAAAACATCTCTCTACTTAAGCTAGCCAAAGAAAAAAAGCACATAAAAGAGCAACACTTCTGAAGCAGTACGGACAATTAGGAAAAAAAAAGAGCAACCAAAGAACAGGCAAAGTACTTCCCTAGGCCAAACTGAAGTGGTCGGGCCTGTTGTTAGGCACCGCAGCAAGTGAGGAATGGGGACTTTCTCTTGCAACAATGCGGCAAAAAGCCTTTTATCATTCAAGGCTAATGTTTTCCAAAACAACAGCTGAAAGGTTTTATCCCTGATTTCTGGATTAATAGACAGTGGATTACAGAAAAGAAAAACTATGCCTGGGCCAACAGACACATGATAACTGGTCATGGTCGGCTAAAAACAATTTGGCCTGGTAAAAAACCTAAAATTCCAAGGTGCTGGGAAGCAACATTATATTGTGAGTAGTTTAGGTTTGCTAGTTGTTTCCAAAAGTTCTGTAGTGTTTCTTCACAGACTCTAAAACAGGATGAGGAGGCAAGATGACCAGACGTCAGTGCTAAAACTGTTATCTTACCTCCTTTCTTAAACTGCTCATTTCCCTCCTCCTTTAGTTTAGTGCTCTCTTCTCTTCTTTTCTGAAAGAGATCAGAGGATTATGTAATCTCTCATAATATTATTATAAATGAACCAAAAGGTCTGCTTTCTTTACACACAAGTGTATTTTATAGGCTGCAACTTACTTTCAAGGACTGGATCAGTTTCCCCTAAATCTCAAACAGTGACAGAGGAAAAACAGATGACTATCTATCTGGCTAATTATCAACTGTATTCTTGACGTTTAAAACACAAAACCTAGGTTTTCTTGGCATGTTCTTTGCTGTATATGTTTCTGTCTTTTGCATGGAATGCCAATTCAGGTGTCATTTAATTTCTATTCACTCAGAAATGAAACTCAATAACATACTCATTGGTTTGCATACCAGCGCAAATTCAAATTCTGGCTTCCACTACTTACTATAATAGTTGCATGATCTTGGACAGATTTCAAAATCTTTCTGAGCCTTAGCTTCTTCATCTAAAAAATGAAGCTTTAATAGTTTTATGGACGAATATTTAATGGATGAATATGATAATGTATGTAAAGCCTCCACTACAGTGATTAGCAAGGACTCAGTAAATATACACTGTTTTTTTTCTGTAAAAGTAGTAATTTAATACTGTATGGAGACATACAGTATGGTAGGAGAATGCATTAGGGGGACAAGCCATGTCTGCAAGGTCAGGGCACTGTGCTGTTAGCAGGCTAACTCAGGGAAATTTAAAGAAACCTAAATAAATCTCTCTTTACTTAGCTTCTTCAAACTCAGAAATTCACACAGATGGCCAAACACCCACCAAACACAAAGGCAGAGAGAAAGTTATCCTGCAAAGCAAAGATGACACGTGCTGAGTCTATGCATGGTTTCTTCCCAAACATCTTAACAACATGGTTGGCACAAGCCAAACTGGCAGAAGAGTCTGTCTGCCTGCCACTTTTGACAGAGCTTTTTTTTTTCTTTAAACAGAGAATCCCCTTTAATCCCTCCCTCCCTTTTCTTTGTTTTTTTTAAAGAGGTGAGGTCTCACCAAGTTGCCTGGCTGGAGTGTAGTGGCTATGCAAAGGCACGATCATGATGCACTACAACCTTGAACTCAGGGGCTCAAGTGATCCTTCTGCCTCAGGCTCCTGAGTCACTGGGACTACAGGCACACATCACCAGGTCCAGCTAACTTCCCTTCATTTTTGAAGCTTCTGATTAAATAAAAACTTAAAAGGGAGGAAATATAGTTAGCAGGGTATTTCATACACAGGAGAAGACTGGAGCCTGAAAAACTGGTACTCTTAACATTAGGAACCAAAGTGAAAATATTATTTCTCTGAAGAAGATTTGCGAATGTGCTATTGCTGAGATCAGGGTGTTTCACAAATGCCTTATTATTATACTGTGGATGAAACAGAGCACTTGATGAATGTCAGTAAAGGAACTAAAAGGTAAGTATAAACTGAATCTAATTTTTATGGTATCTACTATGTGCCAGACATGCAGCAGATACAAATCCTAATTCATTTAAGATATAACATATATGAAGAAGGGCTATTCTAAGGAAATTCAGAAAAAATAAAATGGGTAGTGGTGATGGTGGGAATCGAAATACAAGAATGTGGCCATATTTGCCTAGCACTATCCACAAGAGAGGTGCTCAGATGGTAATGATCCCCACTGTATTGTTTAGGGTTTTTGTATGCAAGCAAAAGACTACCTTAAGCAAACAATTTTAAGAGGTGGGTTTATTGGAAATATATTAAGGGTCACAGAATCAATGGGAGGCTTAAAGAACAGGCTTAAAAAACAGGTAGAACTCAAGGCAGCTCTGTTAATTCAAGAAGCAGAAAGTGTGAGTGCCTTTCTTGTGAGAGCATCTGGCCAGGACAGGGCTGCAATGGTAGCAAATAAATTCTAACCATTCCCTTTTCTTTGTTTTATTTGATCTAGATTCAAGGTCTTGGCTGGAAACATCCAGTAAGCCAAGCATAGGTCACATGACTTGGCTGTCAGAGAATGGAGGGATAGGGGCTACTGCCACTCAACAAGATTACAACACAGGAGAATTCCTCCAAACAGGAAGGGGGGTTGATGCTGGAGAGCCAAGAAAACAGAACAAATCCAGTCAACAGTTACTTGAAAAATGGGAATTCTTTAGAGAAGGGTAATTCATCAAGTTACTAGAGCTTAATGCTCATCCTTTAAGAACTTTCTATTTCCTCTGCTTTAACTCTAATCTCGAGCAACTTTCTGATCCATAATCTGTTCTTCAGAGTCAACTCATCAGGAATGCTCTATCAACAGATGAATCACTCAGACTGCCAGATGAGGCTCTTTGTGAAGTAAGTGTGTGTAAGGGAGTATGTGTTTGTGTTTTAGGAGACCAATCACTCTTTGGTAAATTTATAATATCAGGTTCCCAGTGGGCAAAGCCTAGATCTAACGTACACCCAGAAAGGACTTGCTGATAAAGAGCAGCCACCCTGAGAAAAGCTCACCATGTCTTTTTAACTAGGAGGACTAAAAGTTGAACTAGCAAAGTTAAGGGCTCCAGAACATAATTCTGAGGTTAATTATTCTAAGGAAGGCATCTTATTGTTTTGGCTGATAAACCACAACCCAGTGGCCCATTAAGCAGCAAACACAAGGAAAGAGCTGCTGCTTCCCTCTCCACAGATTGTATAAATTGAGGATTAATGCAATTATCAATTATCATGTTGAACATCTCCTTGGAAACAGCTAAAAACAGCACCTGAAGGAGAAAGTTGAACTACTCCCAGCTGTGCCAAGAGCTTTGTACTTGATCTCAGTACAAAGACCGGGGTTTATTCTGCAGCCTGAATACACTCTTTCTCCAAAGGATGACATGCATATTGTATTAAAATAATGTTACTGGAATTCAAGGACAGATTTTATAGTGTATGGGTCTTACTTAGCATGCTAAGTGCCAGGAGCATTTAAACATACATGAGCTGGTTGTGCTGCTATTCTGCAGCACCATCAGAGGCAAATCTTTCCAGGTTTTGTTCTATGAACAGAGGCTTCTAATGTGGTTAGGAGCCCTCTCACACGCCTCCACAATGCCTTTTAACACATTCTAGGGAGGCCTTGCAGGGAAACATCTGCTCTTGAATTGTACTTCTACAGAAATGGGATCCAAAGAAATTTTACAGAGCTCTACTCAGTACTCCTCCCCATCACTGAAACTCAGGGGGAATTAATGACATTATTCTGCATTGTAAATCATCATAGGAACTGCCAAGGAAAACCCCAACTAGACAATGCCCTCACCAAATAAAATTTATTTCAACAGTTACTACCACAACTGCAAACTTCTCAGCTTGGTATTCAAAATTTAGTACCACCTACACCATTATAGCATCTCACTGCTTAAAATCTGCTGTCACAAACACTAGCTCATTTATTTTTCAAGACAATTCTGAGAGGTAAGCATGGAGGTCTTTACCCATTTTACAGGTGAGAAAATCAAGATTTAGAAATCTCTTGTTCTTCATACTACATCAAACTTCTATTCCAACCTACCTAATCTATCTCATGTTACTATCCAACACAAGGCATCCCTTCTAGAGTCGCATCTCATTATTCTCTCTCAAAACTTACCATGCTTATTCTTCATTCCATCTGTTTGCTTATGCATCCCCACCTTGGAATGCTCTTCCCTATCCTCCTCCCAACTCCCCAAATAAAATTTTCCTTAGTTTTCAGTCTAGCACAAACCATATTTCCCTCCCTGAGCAACCCTTCACTTCCTTTCCCACAGGATCTTTCTTTGAATGCAGACTGTACATACTGCTTCTAATCTGGGAATTCAATTCTGCCTTACAGATTTTAAAAAAAAATTATAAAAACAATAAAAGCATTGTAAATAGTTTGGAATGTTACTTAATGCTTAAATGGTTTCATGGGTTTTAGAATGCTTTTAAGCTCTCAGACTTAAGCAAAAGAGGCTCCTGTGAAAGCCCTCCTATTCCCTCCTAGCCCCACCTATTCCCCATAGGACTCTTTTAGACCGTGTTCCAGGTACTGAGTTCCCCAGGATTTCCCGCTCAGGCATTCCTAGCCTACTTCCAGGATCTGCACGGGCCTTTCACTTAGGTCTGTCCTCTCAAGGGTGAACTTTGTTGCAGGTTTATATAATATTCCAGGTGCAATATTTTGTACTTTGCCTGCTCTAAACCTGGAATTGGCCATTTCTCCAAGGAATCCTGGATCCTTTTAGTGTGGAATGGTATTTAGAAACCAAGATCTGGGTGCTAGTGTGCTCAGTGTTACTAGGGTATTACTGCTTTTAGGCCCTCTCAGTGAAGAAATCCAGGAAACACATCTTTTTAAAAAAAAAAAAAAAAAACAAAACCCAAAACAAAAACCCCATGAGTACAAAGAATACTTATAAGTGAAATCCAACAACACAAGATTCTTCCTCACCTTCCCTCACAATGAAAATTCTACTTCTCAGAATAGCAATATATTTACTAATTTGCTCTATCCTACAATAAACAAGAGTTTCAAAATTACTATACAAATATCACTACCAACAATGAACCTACTATATAAAGTTCAAGGCTTCACTGTAGCTCTTTTTGACTTTAAAGGTGCCCAGAGTCGGTGTCCAAAGTTACTGAAATTATTTTTTTCTACATAAGTGATTTGTTATAGTTATGTTAATTTGTTTCTGTTTGTAGTCAATTGTTTTTTCTTCCTTTGTTGCCTGGGCTAAAGTACCATGGCATCAGCCTAGCTCACAGCAACCTCAAACTCTTGGGCTTAAGCGATCCTCCTGCCTTAGCCTCCTGAGTAGCTAGGACTACAGGTGTGTGCCACCATGCCCGGCTAATTTTTTTCTATTTTTAGTAGAGACAGGGTCTTGCTCTTGCTTAGGGCTCAGGCTGGTCTTGAACTCCTGAGCTTAAGAGATCCTCCCACCTTGGCCTCCCCAAGTGCTAGGATTACAGGCATGAGCGGCTGCACTAACCCTTGTTTGTAGTCAATTTTAAGGGTTTTTTTCTCATCCTTTCATTTAATTTAATATT